TGCAGCTGATTGACCTGGGGGTAAATAACTCCCATTGAGGTGCCTACAGCAATCGAGGCTCAACTACAGTAGGAGGGTGTACAGAGCACATGATGGTGTAGGTTGGGGCACAACTGGAATGCCCAGCTTAGGTGATCAGGGAGGCTGTGCCACTGGACCCTACAGGATACCTACTATATTAGGCCACTCTACCAAGCCCAGGACACATAGCAGCTCTACCTAGTACACAGAAGCAGACACAGGGAAGATGCCAAAGAGGGGGAGACAAATAAACATGTCCCAAAGGAAAGAACAGAACAAAAGTCCAGAAAAAGAACTAAACAAAATGGAGACAAGCAATCTAATAGATGCATAGTTCCAAACACTGTTTATAATGATGGTACTCAGTGAACTTAGGGGAACAATAGTTGAACTTAGAACTTTAACAGCATAAAAAAGGACATGGAGCCCTGGCTGAAGTGGCTCAGTTGTTTGGAGCATTGTCGCATCTCCAAAGGGTCACTAGTTCGATTCCCAGTTAGGGCACATACCCAGGTTGTTGGATGGAACCCTGGTTGGGAGCATATGGGAGGGAACCAATGTTTCTCATATTGATGTTTCTATCTCTATCTCTCTCTGCCTCTCCCTTCCTTTTAGTCTAGAATCAATAAAAAATATATCCTCAGGTGAGGATTAAAAAAAGATATGGAAACCATAAAATGGGACGTGGAAACCATAAAAGGGTACATGGAAACCATAAAAAAGTACATGGAAACCATGAAAGGGGACATGGAAACCATAAAATGGGACATGGAAACCATGAGAAAGGACATGAAAACCATGAAAGGGGACGTGGAAACCATAGAAGGGGACGTGGAAACCATAAAAAAGGACACGGAAACCATGAAAGGGGACATGGAAACTATAAAATGGGACGTGGAAACCATAAAAGGGGACGTGAAAACCATGAAAGGGGACGTGAAAACCATGAAAGGGGACATGGAAACCATAGAAGGGGACGTGAAAACCATGAAAGGGGATGTGGAAACCATAAAATGGGACGTGGAAACCATGAAAAAGGACACGGAAACCATGAAAGGGGACGTGGAAACCATAAAATGGGACGTGGAAACCCATAGAAGGGGATGTGAAAACCATAAAAAAGGACACGGAAACCATGAAAGGGGACATGAAAACCATAAAATGGGACGTGGAAACCATGAAAAAAGGACACGGAACCGTGAAAGGGGGACGTGGAAACCATAAAATGGGACGTGGAAACCATGAAAAAGGACACGGAAACCATGAAAGGGGACGTGGAAACCATAAAATGGGACGTGAAAACCATGAAAGGGGATGTGAAAACCATAAAAAAGGACACGGAAACCGTGAAAGGGGACGTGGAAACCATAAAATGGGACGTGGAAACCATGAAAAAGGACACGGAAACCGTGAAAGGGGACGTGGAAACCATAAAATGGGACGTGGAAACCATGAAAAAGGACACAGAAACCATGAAAGGGGACGTGGAAACCATAAAATGGGACGTGGAAACCATAGAAGGGGATGTGAAAACCATAAAAAAGGACACGGAAACCATGAAAGGGGACATGGAAACCATAAAATGGGACGTGGAAACCATAAAAGGGGACAGGGAAACCGTAAAATGGGACAGGGAAACCATGAAAAAGGACAGGGAAACCATAAAAGGGGACAGGGAAACCATAAAATGGGACAGGGAAACCATGAAAAAGGACAGGGAAATCATAAAAGGGGACGTGGAAACCATAACAGAGGACATGGAAATCATAAAAGAAGACAAGGAAACCATAAAAAAGGACACAGAAACCGTAAAAAAGAACCAGTTCTCAGTGACCCCTGGTCAGGGCCTGCCCCCCATTGCACAGCCTGGGCCACCATCCATGGTGGGCACGGTATCCCAAGGTGAGGAGAGTGGCCCTTCACCAGCCCCGCTAGGGGTCTTGGTCCTCAGTGAGCAGCAGCCAATCTCCAAAAAATCCCTGGCCTGGAGCGGGGTCCTCGAGTGGAAGGAGAAGTTCAAACCAGGCACCAACATCCCGCTGATGCGGTCACTGCCTTGCCAGGTCTACGTGGATCATGGTGAGAACCTGAAAACAGACCTGTGGCCTCAGAAGCTGATCATGAACTTGTTCCCCTCGCAGCTGCTGATCCCACTGGGCCATTATATCCGGAACTCAAGGAGGGTCCAGTTCTCCTTCACCAACCTGGACCTGGAGTCCCACAAAAGCCTCTACCGCATGATAGGCAACGGCTGTGGGGGCTTTGTGCACTTTCTCTTCATGGACCACAGCAAGTTGCGCATATATATGCTCCTGTTGTCCCGCAAGAAGAAGACCTTCATGGGCCTCATTCCCTATGACCAGAAGGGCTTCCTCAACAGAATGGGGCAGATTGTACGGCGGGAGCTCAAGAAAGGTGAGTTGGGGGCATAGCAGGCACTGCCTGGGCTGAGCCCCCTTCTGGAGGACCAGGCTAGTTCCTCACAGAACCTGCTCTTGCTCCGCCAACCACAGTCTGAGCCTCAGGGCACTGTGGAGGCCGCTGCAGCCTCGGGGCAGCCTCAGCCCAGCGTGTTGCCCAGGTTTCCCCCAGGTACTGCCCAAGGCCCTCCAAGGACAGCTCCCAGCCTGCCCCTTCTGCACCTATCCTTTGGCCCCAGAACCCTGGGGCCAACTGTGGCGTCTCCTCCTCAACCCACTCCTGACCCAGTGCGCCCCCCTTTCGTCCGTGTCCAGCCTCCCCCCCCCCCCCCGGCCAAA